CAACAAAGGTGGCAGCTAGTTAGTTTTAATATTACTCTTATTATTCTTTCTGGGTCACAAAATAAACGTTTAACATATTTTCAGGCGAGAATGTAGCTGTGTAAACCTCAAATACCTGCTCAGTTTATCAAGACACCACATATTTTCAAAGCGCTCCGACGTTTTCGGGGACGTCTGTTACCCACCAGCTCGATAGCTAGCCGGGGGCAAGGCTCACTAGAGTCCGTGAGAACGCCGGACTCCCGGCCAATCGTTTTCAAACCCACCGCCGTCTTTCGCTGCTCAGGTTAAACACATATAAGTCACTTAGATAACTTAAAAATGTTATTGTTTGGCTTTTTTCAGTATTTTATTTGTTCCTGAGTAAATCAGTTCGCTGAGATTAAAGTTATAATTTTTACACAGCTGAATAAACATCCAGCAGACAACTGACTATCAGAAGTGTGAGATGCTCGAGAGTATATACTCCGGTGTCCCGTTATATTTTAGATAGCAAGGAGTTTATTACACTTCACCGAAACAATCTGCAAATTTCATTAAAATTTAATAAACTATCATCTTGTCTTTATTTTTAGTTAGCACATACCTTAAACACTTAAAGCTGTAAGCTAATGATAGTTATATAAGAGCAGATGCGTGCTGGTGCAATAAGCTGTACGTTTTACATCCAATGGATGCATGATCTGATCAGTCGACTAATCGCAAAAATAATCTGTGACTAGTCGACTATCAAAATAATCGTTTTTGGCAGCCCTATTTGCAAATAATCCATAAACTGCAGAAGGCATAATTCAGAGACCCAATAGATCTTTCAATTACTCAGAGCCACATCCTGAGTATGTACTTGAACTTTTTCTAAATCATGGTTTATGTATTGACGTTTCCTTTTCATCTCCACAATTTAGGTATACTGACGAGTTTATCTATGACTCTACTCACGCAGTACTTAGAGAGGTCAGTCATACATTTACGTAAGTCAAGGTAAAGCTAGATACTAAAGACATTATACAGATGATATATGTAAATGTAGTAATGCTTGTGATATCTACAGCTCCTCTCAGAGTAATCCAAGCAGCACTGGAGAGGAATGTGATTAATTGCAAGAGATCTTTAGTAAACAAACCCAAGCAATGAATGCAGAGAATTTATGAGAAATGTGTTTATTTCTATACATGTATGTGTAAACATGCAGCACAAGCATCAATTTAGAAATGCAAAAAGAAAGCTTTGAAAAGCAACCTTGAATATGCCTTATCAATAATCAAAAAATAATTATAGTTCAAAGAATTAAGCAGCAGGTTCTCACTAATGCATAGTGACACCAAGCATCATTTTATGATGCGCAGGGTAGTATGTTACTGAATTTGGCAGTATAAAACCAAAGTAAGTCAGAATTTGGGGGTAGACAGAGCAGGGAGTGGTATTTTGAAAAACATCACAATTTAGGTTAAAATACACCTTTCACATGTAAAAAGGCAAATTTCTCCCATCTCTAGCAAGTGCTTCCTTATTTTCCATTACCACAGCCTCACAAAGCCAAGGTCAAGGCTTTAACTTGTTTTTAGAAATTTTTTAAAGAGTAGACATTAAGCAATATTTCTGTGCACAATATCACACAAATACCACAAATAATGTATTTGTGTGATGGTTTAAAACCATCACACAAATACATTGTTGAACCATTTGCAAATTAGTACATTTGCAGTGGTCTTGAATTAACAGGCAAGCATTTAGCAGAAGTTTTACTATCAAACAACTACAGTGCAGATCAGAAAACACAGAATTCTTAGTAAATTATGATTATATTCCTGAAAAACTGGCTTGCAAATTAGTGTTAGTGTCATCGCTAATATTTAAAAATGATTCCTCTACTTTAGGTTATAACAAATTAGGCTTCATAAATTAGCACACATGCATATCTCCTGTTTAAAACCAATTTAATTAGTATTCCTGAATGTAATTAGTGATCTGAAAAATTTAGTCAACAGAATAATATAATTCAAATCAGTCCTGCCCCAATGTATTAGTTTAAGTCCATTTAAAACACTGGGAAAAATTCCTATGGAAAAAAATCAGTAACTGCCTCCCACATGAGCCGCTCAGAAACAGAATGTTTTTTTCTTTTTGTACAACAACTTGAGCGCAGCTATTAAAGCCTGCAAAATGTGACCTTCATATTATAAGAAATGTTCTAGTTACAGGCCCTCAAAGTACATAGCAGTGGGTTGAAATTTGGCACTTCTTAAGTAGACTTCTTTTTTCTTTTTTTATAACTGGTAACATCTTGAGTACAAAAGATACACGTGAAATTTTCAAAGTTGAAAAACACATTTAGAGTCTAAACTCTGCAGAAAAATCTATTTTACACCCACTCCAAATGTTACAATCTAAAGCTAAAAGCTCTCTTTTCCCCCCAGAACATCTTTTTCTATAACTAAGTTTGAGCATAAATGTCATGGGGCATTTCAAAGTTTTAATAGCAAAATATATTTAAAAAATATACACAAAAATATATACACACACGCAAACACGCACTTTGTTATAGTATATGAAATGTCTCATTTTTAGCTACATTTTGATGGAAGAATCGTGTTCCAGGTTTGGTTCCTTTAGCAACAAAATAACTTCTAAAGAATTTAAGTTTGTATAACGGGCTTCTCACCTGCTTCTGCATTTTCACTGTCATCATCTTCTTCCTCAGTATGAACTGGATCCTCCACACCCACCTGATCCATGACTATACACTCTGCAACACCTGTCTATGATTACCACAGAAAGTAGAGTCATTTAGCTTTCCACTTGACCAAAACGAAACCAGAAAATGATGAATAAGTAAGGTAAGCTTTAATACACTTCTTCATTTGACATGCAGGGAAAGTATCAGGGTAAAGATTTGTGTTTAAAAAAAAGTTCTAAATCCATGCTCTGTATCATGTTTCTGTATCAAGTTTTCATTCCCTTAATCCCTAATCCTTCCTAAAGGCTCCAGCTATATTCCGTGTCTTTGATTATTATTAGTGCAGAATGAAGCTTCTAGCTTCTTGCCAGTTAAGTACTTTTGGACAGCAAAACATAAAATGTAGGCACTACACAGGTTTAATTCAGTTACTGACCTTTAAGGATTCCAGCTGCATCACCTGACATTTCTGAAGAAGCTCCACAAACAGGTAGATCAGCAAGGCCTGCATGGGAAAGAATACGGAAAATACATGTAGGTTTTGTGGTTGAAATGGTTGTGGTCGTTTCATGAACTATAAAACAATAAAATCAGAGGTTGTGTATTACTTACCTGGACAAAGAAGCCAACAATAAAGGAGAACAGGAAAGGCACCAGTCCAGCATGGGCTATCGTTACTGGAAGACCTGCAAATTAAAACGAGGTGAAACTATTTCTGAATTTCATTCCCATCTAAGCTTACCAGAAGATATGTGCTAGACAATGTCTGACTCTTTGTCAGCATATCCACCTGCCTGTCTATCACCATCTCGGCTCGTTTTTCGCTCTCTCAGACACTCCTTTGTACTCTGGCTCAAACTTCCCATAAAATTTAATGGATGGTGCTGATTTCAATATGAGATTTAAGTGACTGAACAAGTATTAACTTGGAAGGGCTCCACCTTTGTGGAACTACATGAAGACCCTGCTGAAAACAAAGTACTTAAATGTAATGTTCCATGTAATTTCCACCTCTACAAAAATCTCTCTGGTGTTAACTACACTTCATAAACCACACTTAAATTTGCACTGCCAATGACAGCCAGGAGATGGACAGCGCTTTAATTATGCTTCAAGTTATATTAGAAAAGTCCATCCAGTAGAAAGAAAAAATACAGCTCTCTAAAGTTTCGACCACTGTGTTAGCCAAGTCACAATACAGTAAACAGTGCAGTAAACTTTTAATAAATACTTCTGTGAAGAGTCGGGTTTATTTTGAGACTGTGTGGGAAGGATCTTGTTTCTACTATTCAGTAAATTATCAGAGCAGTTTGTAGTGTTGTTCATCTCATACTGAAATGTACGATATTCCTTCTTTTGTCTCATCCAGAACTCTGGTTGTTTTAAACGCTGCCTCTGAATTTGTCTTGTTTTTCCAATAGTTTTTTTTGCTTGCCACCAAATTACCTTCAGTCTCAACATTAAGTATTAAGTCACTTGACTTACTGTTCTGACTCATCATCCAATTCCAAGTGTCCTCAAGAAATGTGTATTCTGAATCCCTGCAGATTTTTTTTTGCACAAGGATGTCAAACAGGAGCAGCAGGGAAGGATAACATGGAAACAACTATGTACGTAAAAGTATGTAAAATTTTGCTTTTGAGGTGTTCATCTGCCCTGATAAGAGTTCACTTGAACATTTACTTTGTCATTCAGAGCGTTATTCTCACTCCGAATAGTGATTTAAGTTTCAGCGTTTTGTTTCATAAAAACCTCCCGCTGAGATTGGCTCTACATGTGTTCCATAAGCAGAAATGAGTGCATCTCACAAAGAGCTTACTGAAGATGTCAACTCATTAACCTACTCTATGTGCATCAAAGCAAGTGTTAATTCATCTAAAAACAAATATGGTCAAGTGCTGAGCCAACATAATAAACCCAAGGCTGATGACTCAGAAAAACCAGCAAACAAACAGAGAAGAACAGGCTTTAACCTTAATTTCCGAAGTAGACCTTTCAGAAGAGGAAGAACAACTACTCACTGTCCAACCATTTTTAGTACAGAAACAAACAAGCGCACACACAGAAAAAACAAAACCATAATAGCTAAAGTGCTATTGTTGCTGCGGACTATACACCCTAGCCCAAGATGTTAACCTCCAGGACAGACTGACGTGTGTTTGCTTATCAGACGTTTTACTTGATGTTGTAAAAACTGTGATTCATGCACCTCAAGAAAAAAAAAAAGCTGTGAATATGTGAATACTCACCTAAGATTCCAGTTCCCAGTATTGTTGCAATGGTCAAAAAGTCTGGGAAGACAGAAAGTGATTATTTGAGTGATTATTATTATGATTATTTCTTGTTCTACTTGTAGGAACAAAATGTTTGACTTGAACATACAAAATAACACAGAGGTTCACAGAAAGACAAAATTAAATATATTGCAAATACCAACTGAGTTGGGTGAAACAAATCAGGAGGAATGTCTGCAACAGCCTTAAGCTGAGAACGCATGGTCAAAGGTGGCCTCTTCCTGCCCAGGCCACACCCTCCAGGGTAGCATTACTTGCTGCAGCTTTGGTTCATAAACAGCTTTTGCCCTGTTTGGTGGATGTCTTCGAAGTGCAACCCAAACAACACACATTTGGTACAGAAACTATGCCATCTTACAAAAAGTAGTGCATGCAATGATCAGCTGCTATAGGGCCAAAACTTACTAAATATAACAGTGTTCAACACAAACCATGAAACTGAACACAGCCAGGACCTTCTTTACTTTCATTCATTAGATTGGGGGTGGGGGAACTCCAGGCCTCAAGGGCCGGTGTCCTGCAGGTTTTAGACGTGTTCTTGATCCAACATAGCTGATTTAAATGGCTTCAAGTTCTCCAGAGGCCTGTTAATAAACTAATCATTTGATTCAGGTGTGTTGATGCAGGGTGATACCTAAAACCTGCAGGACACCGGCCCTTGAGGCCTGGAGTTCCCCACCCTTGGATTAGATGGAGCTGACTCAACACTAAAGGTTATATAAGAGACAGCAAAACCATACGATATTTTTTAGATTTGACATGACAACTCCAGACCAAAGAAGTAGGGGTTCTACTTATATATCCCCAAAACTTACATTACAGAGTCTTCAATATTTGTCGAGCACCTCTCAATTAACAGTTTCAATGTATATAT